GCACATTAAGTGCATTAAAGCTCAAACAGTGCACATTAAGTGCAGTAAAGCTCAAACAGTGCACATTAAGTGCATTCAAGCTCAAACAGCGCACATTAAGTGCATTAAAGCTCAAACAGTGCACATTAAGTGCATTAAAGCTCAAACAGTGCACATTAAGTGCATTAAAGCTCAAACAGTGTACATCAAGTGCATTAAAGCTCAAACAGTGCACATTAAGTGCATTAAAGCTCAAACAGTGCACACTAAGTGCATTAAAGCTCAAACAGTGCACACTAAGTGCATCAAAGCTCAAACAGTTCACATTAAGTGCATTGAAGCTCAAACAGTGCACACTAAGTGCATTAAAGCTCAAAAAGTGCACATTAACTAATTTAATCACTTCAATATGCATGAGATTGTATGACTCCCCAAATAAAGCCTACAAGTTTCTAACTTATTTCAGCTATCTGGATGATGCCGAGGAATTTCGAGTACGGTCTTTGGCCGGCCAGCGGAGAAATTGACATCGTCGAGTCCCGAGGTAGGATATGTTAAGTACTAACCTGTATGTCGGCGTAATATGATTATCAGCAGGAAGTCAGTGTTTAACAATTAAAAACAATAATCTTACATTTTATATTAAATCCGCACGAAAATTGTCATCAGTGTTTAATATTTAGTGGTCGACGTACCTAATGTTCGTTACTTAGCATTACGTGGCCGATGTGTGCACTGTCACTTTTGAATAATTGACTGTCACTTTTGAATAATTGACTATCACTTTTGAATAATTGATTGTCACTTTGGAATAATTGACTGTCACTTATGAATAATTGACTGTCACAGGTAACGACAACTACGGTACTCTTGGTAGCGGTTTTGCTGGTACCACCCTGCACTGGGGCCCAGCCTTGAACCTCAACAAGTATAACCTCACCCACGCAGAATAGTAAGTAATTCACTTCAATTTAGAATAAAAGTGATCACGTTTTCTGTTTCTTCTTGTTTGGTCGAACAGTTATTTTTTCGGTAACATATTTCTGTATCGGAATGAGCGCATATTCGCAGAATAATTATGCATGTACAAATTGTACATCTATACCAGTGGTGGGCACAGTTCCGCTAATCCGTTAACCGCTAATTAGCGAAGCTAACTTTTTCATTATCGGATTAGCTGTTCAGCTAACGTTGAAAACCTTTAGCGGACCAATTAGCTTCCGCTAAATTTAGTTCCACTGACTGGCAGTCCGCTAAAAATGTGTTAAAATCTCTGATTTAATGCTAAGTATCGTAAGCCGTGTGCCACGCCCACACTGACGGCTGACTACGTCATCAAAATGTTCGTCAGCCAATCACGTCTTGTGTTACTGGCAGTAACACAAGACGTCCTATACTTTTTTAAATAATTGACTGTCACTTTTGAATAATTGACTGTCACTTTTGAATAATTGACTGTCACTTTTGAATAATTGACTGTCACTTTTGAATAATTGACTGTCACTTTTTAATAATTGACTGTCACTTTTAAATAATTGACTGTCTCTTTTGAATAATTGACTGTCTCTTCTGAATAATTGACTGTCACTTCTGAATAATTGACTATCACATTTGAATAATTGACTGTCACAGGTAACAACAACTACAGTACTCTTGGTAACGGTTTTGCTGGTACCACACTGCACTGGGGCCCAGCCCTGAACCTCAACAAGTATAACCTCACCCACGCAGAATAGTAAGTTATTCACTTCAATTTAGAATAAAAGTGAACACGTTTTCTCTTTCTTCTTGTCTGGTCGAACAGCTTTATTTTTCGGTAACATTTTTTTTTGTATTTTAATGAGCGCATATTCGTATAATAATTATGCATGTAAACATTGTACATCTATACTGTATGAACGAAACGTTGTGAACGGATAAATTCTAGTGCTGAGAGTTTCATTGAGGGTAAAAGTGACATTAATTTCTTGGGGATCAGCTCCCCCGCCAACGGGACTTCCTTCGCCGACAACTTCCACACGTGGCGCTTGGACTGGACGCCCGACGACATAACGTAAGCCTGCGGTCACTTATTGCCTTGAAACTTGCGACTAAATGCAAGTGTTGGAACAGGCATTGGTCATGCTGGGGGTATATCATGGCTGAAGATAGATGATGATGATGTCATAAGGTTGACCAAAGATTGAACTATATAAGGTTGACTAATGGTTGAACTATGAAGGTTGACTCATGGTTGAACTATGAAGGTTGACTCATGGTTGAACTATAGAAGGTTGACCCATGGTTGAACTATATAAGGTTGACCCGCGAGAATTTCCGTCTTTCAGTTCAGCTATCTTGTTACGTCGCTGAGATCCAAAAACGTAAACAAACCCGTCACTCCCATGACGGATTGGTTGACTGGTTTGATCGCATTTCGGTGATTGGTTAATGCCCGTGGCGTCGCTGAGATCAGTAACGTCACAGACGAACAACAAACTACATCCGCAAAACTGAGCTTCTCATGGGTCAACCTTGTATTAGTTCAACCTTGGTATACACAACCATGCATCGTATATCTTGCACAACTAATAATATGAACATGTAGTGTAGTCAAGAACCCCAACCCTCTCATTTTAGTGTCCCTGTGCCAGGTTAGAGAGAAAACTAAACTCATTTTTCGATCAAGCAATAGTTTCCGCGATGGCATATCTAACAATGATTTTTGATATTGTTTCGAACCTTTGTACTCACACGAAATGTGTAGCTGTGACAACTAATAATATTCTACGCTTGTATTCTATTCGACTTTTTGCATCTGCAGCAGATTGTAATGTAATAAAAATGCGTAAGATTTCGTGAAAAACGTGAAGTAATCTATTTAATTACGATGGCTCCTACGTGAATGTTGAAAAGAATTTTGCTCATAGCAAATTTTTCGAGAATAGGCCATCATCAGAGCCAATAAATAATTTAAATCAACGGTATTACCGAAGCCTCTGCTGATACATAAAAATTAAATAAATTACGTAATGAGCATGTTACTTTCAAATAGGCATAAATTATGCTTAAATTCAGTGTTGGGCACAGTCCGTTAATCCGCTAACCGCTTATTAACGAAGCTGACGTTTTCCTTACCCGGTGTGTCACACGGATGGCTGACTACGTCAGCATATGTACGTCAACCTATCACGTCTTTTGTTACACAAGACGTGATTGGTTGACGTAGATATGTTGATAAAAAACAGGGAACCGCTATTTACTTCCACTCTCTGTTTGCATTCTCTTTCACTGACTTCACTTCAAGTCCTTTTAGTGATACGTTTCAATACAAAATGCGTTAATACAGTTCAACCGCATTGTGAAAAGGTAAGCTGTGAGCCCGCGCAGCACGCACGTCTGTCTTGTGACACGGCTCAACCGCGACTCATGGTTGAAGATAGATGATGATGATGTCATAAGGTTGACCAAAGGTTGAACTATATAAGGTTGACTCATGGTTGAACTATGAAGGTTGACCCATGGTTGAACTATAGAAGGTTGACCCATTGTTGAACTATAGAAGGTTGACCCATGATTGAACTATATAAGGTTGACCCACGAGAAGTTCCGTCTTTCAGTTCAGCTTTGTTGTTACGTCGCTGAGATCGAGAAACGTAAACAATCCCGTCACCCCCATGACGGATTGGCTGACTGGTTTGATCGCATTTCTGTGATTGGTTAATGCCTGTGACGTCACTGAGATCAGTGACGTCACAGGCGAACAACGAACTACATCCGCAAAAATGAGCTTCTCATGGGTCAACCTTATACTACTTCAACCATGGTATACACAACAACCGTATATCATGTTAAACTAATAACATAAAGATGTAGTGTAGTCAAGAACCCCTCATTTTAGTGTCCCTGGGCCAGGTTAAAGCCCAACTAAACTAATTTTTCATTCAAGCAACAGTTTCCGCAATGGCATAGTTAATAATGATTGATGACATTGTTTCGAATTTCGAACATTCGTACTCATCCAAAGTGTGTTGCTGCGGCAACTAAAAATATTCTACATTTGCATTCTACTGTATTTGACTTGGGCTATTGCGTTTGCAGCAGACTGTAATGTAATAAACTTGCCTAATATTTCGTGAAAAACGCGAAGTAATTTATTAAGATGGCTCCTACGTGAGAGTGGAAAAGAATTTCGCTTGTTCCAGAATTTTTGCGAGAATTGGCCATCATTAAATCCAATACATAATTTAAATCAACGGTATTACCGTAGCCTCTGATGAAGCATAAAAATTAAATAGATTACGTAATGAGTATGTGACTTTCGCATAGGCATAAATCATGCTTAAATTAGCATATAACACAAATAATACTCGGTCGCCAGGTTCTACCTAGACGACGCGGAAATTTTGAAGGTGGACCCCGGCACCAACTTCTGGGACTTCGGCGGCCTGGCTACCAGTGGCTACGAGAACCCCTGGCGCTACGGCACCAAAATGGCTCCCTTCGATAAGGAAGTAAGAGAATAGTGAGCAAAAGAGAGTAGTGAGCAAAAGAGAGTAGTGAGCAAAAGAGAGTAGTGGGCAAAAGAGAGTAGTGAGCAAAAGAGAGTAGTGAGCAAAAGAGAGTAGTGAGCAAAAGAGAGTAGTGAGCAAAAGAGAGNGCCTAATATTTCGTGAAAAACGTGAAGTAATTTATTAAGATGGCTCCTACGTGAAAGTTGAAAAGAATTTCACATGTTCCAGAATTTTTGCGGGAATTGGCCATCATTAAATCCAATACATAATTTAAATCAACGGTACCTATTACCGAAGCCTCTGATGAAGCATAAAAATTAAATAAACTGCTAAATGAGTATGTTACTTTCGCATAGGCATAAATCATGCTTAAATTAACATATACCAAAGACAATACTGGGTCGCCAGGTTCTACCTAGACGACGCGGAAATTTTGAAGGTGGACCCCGGCACCAACTTCTGGGACCTCGGCGGCCTGGCATCCAGTGGCTACGAGAACCCCTGGCGCTACGGCACGAAAATGGCTCCCTTCGATAAGGAAGTAAGAGAGCAGTGAGAAAAAGAGAGCAGTGGGCAAAAGAGAGTAGTGAGCAAAAGAGAGTAGTGAGCAAAAAAGAGTAGTGAGCAAATGAAAGTGTGAGCAAAAGAGAGTTGTGAGCAAAAAAGAGTAGTGAGCAAAAGAGAGTAGTGAGCAAAAGAGATTAGTGAGCAAAAGAGAGTAGTGAGCAAAAGAGAGTAGTGAGCAAAAGAGAGCAGTGAGCAAAAGAAAGTGTGAGCAAAAGAGAATAGTGAGCAAAATTTAGACTAGAGCATCTAGCATGTCCGGGCAAATTGGATATATTTCTGTACTTCAATGCACTGATTGGCCAAGAGCAAGTGAATGTTATTGATGAAGCCCATGTCATCTTCGGTCTCTAAGTTTTAGTTTCGGCACTCAGTTTAAACACAATTTTTAATGTCGCAGGAGAATAGCATCGATAAATGAACGAAAATTAGAGGCATCAAAATTACTCACTGGATGATAATAAATTAAATGAGTAATTTCAAGATATAATCCGCAGTTTCACGTGATTATCAACTTGGCTGTTGGAGGCGTGAACGGCTTCTTCCCCGATGACGTCCCTAGCAGCCCCCCTAAGCCCTGGTCCAATGCTGAGAGCACCGCCCCGGCCTCCTTCTGGAAGGGCGTAAGTTAGAGTCCCTAGCAGCCCTCAGCCGTGCGTATAACCTATAGAGTGCAGCAGTAACTACTGCTAATTCTGTAATAAATAATATCATTCTTCTAACTTTTTAGCTGCATGTCCCGTATTAGCTATGCAGGAGCATATATGATCACTCTTAAAATGCCTAGCAACTTACGGCAATAAGTCCAGCAGCTATCTCAATCAATCGTCAGCTATGGAAAGATCGGGTTCCAAAGGCCGGATCCCTTGTGAATCAAGTCACGAAAAGTTCAAGAATCGGCAACAGGCCATGGGC